ACACACACACACACACACACACACACACACACACACACACACACACACACACACATACTCCCACACGTAGGAACGAAGAACGCAGTACCGCAAAAAAGAGTTTCAACGCCTGTTAAATACGTCATCGTCCCCGGGAGTAAAGTTCGCTCATCGGGTGTCGCTACGTGCCGTGGTTTATCGTCACCCTGCGCCCTGGCTTCTATGGACTGACTATATAATATAGATATCTTCGCCATCTGTTGGTATATCGCTCGACTACTATTTCACGCTCGTGGGAATGAGTATGCTAAGTAACCATATTTCTTAGTTAGCGTCGATGACCGCATGCGACGCTACTTTATAACTCGCCACGAACGTAAATCAGCGACCTGAGCGAGCGTGGCCTCCGCTACCGGTTACGTCTCTTCCGTCCCCTATTAGCGGTCGCTGGCGGCAGGTAGGCACTGACACTTACGCATCAGCTCCCTTCATCAATCTCCTCACCCGCATGCATCCCGTCATATCTCTCCCCCTTTCTCTGCAAGCACATGACAGCAGTGTGCATTTCCGATCAGCTATTATCTTCCTCGCCCACCAACGTCCTCCTGCTCCCCGTCTCTTGCTCTTTTCCTTCATACTCGCATTTCTGCTCTTTCTCCCGCTCTCTCGCTCTCTCGCTCTCTCTTTCTTTCTCTCTCTTATGCCTTCTCTCTCTCTCTCTCTCTCTCTCTCTCTCTCTCTCTCTCTCTCTCTCTCTCTCTCTCTCTCTCTCTCTCTCTCTCTCTCTGACCTCCCCTCCTCTCCTCCTATCCCCCATTTTTTTCTCGCTTTCTTACTATCGCTCATGTTCTACTTCTGTGTAGGCGTTTGTCACTCGCGTTTACTCCGACTCACTGTGTTGTTTTAGTTTAATTCCCTTGCTGTTGTCTTCTTCATTACCACCTCGTTGTTTCTCTCGCTGTCTCTCTCCTGCTCTCGCACCCTAGAGCTCTCTGTCTAACTGCAGGCGACTGTACGAGAATGAACACTATTATTCCTCGTTCTATCCTGCATTAGTCTCGCGCGACAGCGTCTCATCTCGCGATGCGCACGCCAGATAGCTCGTTGTGACGTGCGAGCAGGCGGCGAAGACCATGTGAATTGTAATGTCGCGATGACATTGTCCGACTCCGTGATTGATTCAGTATTAAACTGCGCGACCAGTCAGTGGGTGCATGGCCTTTCCTGTCTATTCTACGTAACTCTGGCCCTGTCACTCTGTTTTCCCTCTCACTCACACACTCTCTCTCTCTCTCTCGCTCAAATCTCCACTTTCTTCTTCTCGCTGTCTCCTCCTCTCTCGCCCCTAAGAGCTCTCTGCTAAACTTGCAAGGCGACTGTACGAGAATAGAATCTACTATTATTCCTCGTCCTATCCCTCATAGTCTCGCGCAGACAGCCGCTCATCTCGCGATGCGCACCCAGAATAGCTTCGTTGTGAACGTGCGACAGGCGGCGAAGACCATGTTAATGTGTAATGTCGCGATGACATTGTCCGACCCCGTATTGATTCATATAAATCTGCGCGACCAGTTCATGTGTGCATGGGCTTGTCTCTATTCTACGTAACTCTGGCCCTGTCACTCTGTTCCCTCTCACTTCACACCACTCTCTCTCTCTCTCTCGCCATCTCCACTTTCTTCTCTCTCCTACTCTCGCACTCTCTCCTCTCTCTCTCTCTATTATAATATATATATATATATAATATATATATCA